GCGACCCTGCAGGACCGGGCGGAGCTGCCCCTGGGGGTCTCCCAGGCTGTCAGTCTTCACGGGAGCAGACGGTCTGGTCTTTCTCCCGGGGAGCTAATAGATAGATAGATCGATCGATCGATCGATAGATAGATAGATAGATAGATAGATAGATTGACAGATAGATGACAGATAGATGATAGGTAGATAGATAGATGATAGATAGATGATAGGTAGGTAGATAGATAGATGATAGGTAGATAGATAGATATGTAGATAGTTAGATATATAGATAGATAAATAGATATGTAGACAGTTAAATAGACAGATAGATAAACTCACTTCCACTGAGTGGATGCTGACTCTCAGTGACCCTGCAGGACAGGACAGAGCTTCCCCTGTGGGTTTCTGAGACTGTCAGTCTTTATGGGGCTACAAGAACCTCATTTTTCTTCCACGCAGGGACGGGCTAGAGACGCAAACACTGCCTTCAGGGGGTGCAGACGCCACTGGGGGCTCTGCCGTGCAGCCATAGCTGCCCATTTTGATATTTTGGTCTCATAAACCCTTCTACGATTTTTGTAGCAATACTGTGTAGCAATCCTTGTAGACAAAATAGACATGAGGATATGTGATGCTGGGCTGAAACGGAATCCTGGTGGTTCACAGGCTTAGATGCAGCAAGCAGTTTGAACCCACCCGTCGCTCCTTGGGAGAAAGACCAGACTGTCTGCTCCCGTGAAGACTGACCGCCTGGGAGACCCCCAGGGGCAGCTCCGCCCCGTCCTGCAGGGTCGCTGCGACTCAGTATTGATGGCAGCGCGTTGTTCTAGAAAGGTTAAAACACTCAAAAGCTAACTGAAAAGTTAAGAGGTTTGAATCCTCCTGTAGGTGCCTCTTAAGAAAGACCTGCAGATTTCAAATGCCAAACCCAGCCACGGACATCCCCGTGGCCGCAGTCTGACTCCGGCACACTAGGGGGCGCTGGGCGACACCTGGCTGTTTAAACCCACAGCGCCCCCTGCTGGTGGGAATG